CAGCCATAGCCATATCCCCCACATCCCAGGATTCCATAGCCATAGCTATGAAAGCCATAACCTAGGCCATGGAAGTTGCCATATCTACAGCCATAACCAGAGCCATAACCATACCCCAGGCCCCCATAGTGGTACATTATGTCAGGATTAACAGATTTGGATGGACATGAAGGATAGGTTGCTTTAGTGTGTACAGCTCCATCTGCAAGGGAACTGAAACACTTCCAGCTGGAGATGAGGCAAATCCATAGTAAAAATGTCTATTTCCCATTACAAATTTGCCAGGGAAACATCAAATTTTTGTCACTGTTTGTTCCCATAGAAAATTCCTTCAGTTTATTAAGAATTTTTTTTTCTCTATTAGCTATTTCTCTGAGAAAGCTGTGGCACGATGTCACTCCTATAATGAGAAGTGATTACAGTGTTGCCAAAGCCTTTATTGTTAATGTGACTGGTGCCCTACTCAGGCTACATAGCACCCTCTCCTGGGTGGCACTGTCCTTGCATTATGATTGTCACCTTGGGCTTCTGATTCTTTAGGCAGGCTGTTGTATTCTGTCTCTTAATCAGTGCTGTTTGAGACTGAATTGACAGAATTGTGCAAGTTTCAGACTGGGCTGGAGATGGTGGTGGGTCACCAGTGTATGGAACAAATCAATTAAACTTCCACTTCCAAAGTACCCCAAGCACCAACCACCTCCCCAGTATTTGCACTGTGCCAACAACTGTGCTCAGGGTTGTCAACAGAGTCTCTTTCCTCAGGAAGCTCTAATGTTACAAGGCCAGTGAGAACTGCCACAAACACAGAGACTTAGTTGGAGAAGATCTCAGAGACATAAGCATCAGGGCACTTGTTACAGGTGGGATAAGAGCTGAAACTGAAAGGGAGCAGGGAAAGTCAGAGGGGAAGGGAAGAGAAAGGAGAGCAATCTGGGCAGGTTGGTTAGCAAGCCAATGCAAAGGCAAGAAGAAGGGACACACAATATATTGGTGAGGGAAAGAAAGTAGGCTTGCAATGGACAGACTACAAAAAGTAGGAAGCAGAACAAAATTTACCAAGACTGGAAAAAAAAGAACAGGCCAGTTTATGTAGAGGGTGAAGTACCAGACTAAGGTATTGATTTGAACCATCATAGAACATGAGTCAATAAGTTTGTCAGACAATAAATATGGGGCTTTTGCAGATTGGAAGGAGTGAGGAAGAAGATCAGTGTTTTAGGAAAATCCCTTGGGGAGCTGAGTGGAGAATGGATTGTGCTGGAAAGAGGATTGAAACAGGGAGGCCAATCACAAGACTCCTGAAGAGAGACACTGAGGACCTAACCTAAGATCAGGTCTGTATGAGTAGAGAGGATAGGCATGCCAGAGATATTGTGAGGTTAGAAAGAACAAATTTTACTAACTGATAAGCTAAGTGCAATGAGAATGAATTGTCAAGTAAGTCCCTGAGGGTCAGAACCTGGGTGCCTCTCAATAAGAGGGAGCTATTGAAAGGGGTAGACAGGTAGGGAAAAGGTAGGGTGCTTTTCAAGAAGCAGATGAGGAGCTGTGCTTTAGACTTGGGGGTTTTGAGATGACTATGGGACATCAAGTTGAAATTGTGTGATAGAATGGTTTAAAAAGTGTAACTGGAGCTCAGGAGAGATACCTACCTGGATCTGGTGAGTGTCAAAGTGAGTGTCAGAGAGGTCTCTCAAGCTCTGACACCTGAAGGAGGGTCTACTCTCCTGCCAGTGGAGAAAGCATAATGGAGCGAAAAGACAAGACACAACATTCTTAGGTGTCAGCCAGAATTACTAAGCATGGCATGAGTTAAGGTGAGCAAGAAGAGAGTCATGTGGGAAGAACAGTGTCAAGCACACCCAGGAGCCAGCAATGTCAAATGCTGAAGGCAGAACAAAATGAAGGAAGACTCAGAAGAGGCCACCAGTTTTGCCCAGAAAGAAACCACTGAGCCCTTTGAAGAGAGAAGTTCCTTTTGAAGGTTGGGGTCAGCAAGCAGATGTCCAGAGCTTTCAAGGACAGTGAAAGGAGGGCAGGCAGGAACTCTGAGTAGCCTTGAATGAATGCAGTTCAGCCATGGACTTTTAAAATGTGGAAGTACTAATAATGTGAGATTGAGTAGGATCATGCATTCTGGGCATATGTAGACAACCAGCTGAACAAGTGAGCTCAGGGGAAATTCTGGGCAGGGTTAGTGTATTTCAGAGAGAAGGGAACTGAGCCTGGAATAACTAAGGAGGTCATTAACTGAGGGAGTGTAGTAGAGAAAAGGCAGGCTGTAGCTCTTAGGTTGCAGAGCATCTCAGAAAGACTCCAATTAACCAGAAGAAAAGTGAGCTCAATGTGGCTGGGGTAGCACTAGGTGTCTCCTTTCTTCTCTCAGGTTCCAAACCTTTCCCAACTCCCCTCTAAAGGATAACTAAGCCCAGTAGGATGTCACATGACAGCCAGAAATCCTACTGTGACTTTGGGACTGCAAGAAGGGCAAAAGAGAGAAGAGCTCAGGAAAACGGAGGTGACTATCCACCTATAGCTAGCACTGCTCAGCGCTTGGCTCACTTTTGTCTAAGCTGGAGAGCGTCCAGAGGAGTCCAGACCAGTTGGTAAAAGAACCTCCAGCTTAAGCCCTATGAGATTTGGTTGAAGGAGTTGGGACTCTTGTACTTCGAATATACTCAGAGATTTGTGCTAACTTTCTTAAGGTGTTTTAGTGGCTGCTGCACAGTATAGGTACCAGATCTGTTCTATGTTTCCCCTGGCAGGAGAGCTTGGATTTAGAGGGAGCTTTATTCCCCAAAGAGTGATTTTTATTTTGCTAAAGATAACAAAATAAATATTCTTTGCATAATGAGAGCTGTACAAAAGAGTAACACTCTTCTTCTTGAATGATTTGTTTTCACTGAAATATCCTCTATAGAAGGTCTTTTCACAAAGGATTGATGAATCATTTGGAGATATATTTTGGAAGGCATTGAGCAGAGGACTGCTGAGTGATTTTCCGTTGAAAAGCCAGTGGATCTAAAGAAACAGACATGCTTTTTGTGAATAGAGAATAAGACTTAGGAGAGATCTATTGCAATTACAATTAAATTTTTTTTTTTGCAATTCGTTTTTAAGATAAACAGCAGAAGGGATAAGATCCATTGGTAATAGCACTGTAGTGTTTCCTCTACTGTCTGGAACACAAGTTCAATAAATAAACATTCTAATCAATAAATATTTGTCAAGCACCTACTATTTGCTATATAGGGTGCTTTCTTCTTAAAGACCCATCTAAGGGATTTTGGGGGCCAAATGTTCAAAGCTAGGATATGGAGCAGAAAAACAAAATATCTCTTTCTCTGGACCTTTGAGTTGATTAGAGAATGTTATAGTGGTTTGAAGGGCATTCTTTTAAGCCAGAGTCCACTTCAGAGAACTGAAATTGATTACATATTCATCAATTGGGGAATGACTGAACCAGTGGTAGTATATGATTGTGATGAAATACTATTATACCATAAGAAAGGAGGAGCAGGGTGCTTTCAGAAAAACCTGGAAAGACTTACATGAACTGATGCAAAGTCAAATGAGCAGAACCAGGAGACTATCATACACAGTAGTAGCAATGATCAACTGTGAATGACCTAGCTATTCCTAGCAATACAATGATCCAAGACAATTATGAAGGATTTATGATGATGAAAAATGCTACTCCAGAGAAAGAATTGATGGAGTCTGAATGCAGGTGAAGGGAACATTTTTTTACTTTATTTTTTAAGTATCTTTTTAAAACACATAATTAATATGGGAATATGTATTACATGACTGCATATATATAAATGGTATCAAATTGCTTACCTTCTCAAGAAGGGGAGAAGAAAGAAAGGAAAGAAGAGAGTTTGGAACTTAAAATTTTTAAAAACGGTAAAATTGCTTTTTGCCTGTAATTGGAAAAAATAAAGTATTTGAAAATTGGGAAAAAAAGAGTGAGTCCACTTCCTCTGTGGATGGGAGGGCCTCAGCTTGAGTGCAGTGTTGTGAGCTGGACTGGTGGTATAGTTGCTCAAGGAGATAGGACCCATCAGAAGAGCAGTAGTTTCATGACAACCTTTAGGAAGGGTATGTGATTCTCTTTGGCAGTCTTTGTGGTGTGCCACTTACTTGTGCTGTACTTCAGGACTTCAAATTGTGATTGATAACCAGGTGGTGGAAGGTCAGTGATCATTGCAAAGAGAAGTGATGGGCTAGCCCATATTCTGACAGTCACCAGCGCCATCCTGGATCTGGAATTGATGAACCATGAGAATGAAGTGCTGAACATGTGGATCTTTGAGAACCTTTGAACATAAAAACCCTTCCCAGATATGCACAGAATTTGGAAGAAGGGCTATAGCTTATAGGGACTAATGCCTTCAGCAAAGTGGATCCTGGCTATTATGAAGTTTTAAAATCCAAGTACTGCAGAAATCAAATCTTAAGAAGATGTTTAACAAGGAAATAACTTTTTTTGAATAGAAATCTGAAAAGGTATCACTTCATTGCAAATGATGAATTGGAGAATGTTTCTTCTGCAGTGACATGCAAGTACAGATCAAGATTGAAAATCTCTTCATAAAATGAGACTGAAACTCAAGTACAGTGAGGTCAAGAAGGAGACATGAAAACAGTTTTGCTATGCCAGTGAAACAAGTTTATTAGAGCATCTTTTTACATGATTCAGCCATGATGTATAAGAATTGAGCAAACTTGCTGGAAATGAGCAATTGTTGGGGAAATTTCCATCATGGAAGATGAGAATTTATCATTTCTAGAAGGATGAGTCCTGCTGCTTCTCGGTTCCTGCCACTTAATTTCCGTGGGTAGTATATATTGATTCCAAGGCCATCTTGTGGTAGCTCTGCCATGTCACCCAGCCATAGAGGCTGATGGAATTAGATGTTCTTACAGTGGCATAGAATTAGCCTAGAGCAAGATGAGGACAAGGATTTGATGACAGCCTGGGAGCAAGTGGTTTTTCAGTAGAAGCCATAGGAATAATATCTTCCATAGCAAGATGGGTGGTAACAGCCATAGCCATAGCCACCATAGCCCAGGCCTCTATAACCCAAGCCGCCAAAGCCATAGCCTAGGCCACGGAAGCTTCCACATCCACAACCATAACCAGAGCCATAGCCATAGTCCAGGCCCCCATAGTAGCTGCCGTAGTAGCTCATTGTGTCAGGCTTCACAGATCTGGTTGGATGTCAAGGGCAGGTTGTGTGAGTGTCTTTGGCACCATCTGCATGTGGACTTTTATACCTTTCTAGCAGGAGGCAGGGCAGATCAAGGCTAGAATTGCATAATTTCTATTAATGAATTTTACAGGGCAAAAGCACATTCTTTTCATTTTTTGTTTCCTGAGAACAATTCCTCCAGCTCATTAAGGATGTTTTTCTCTCTATTTTTTGTTTCTCTGAGATAGTTCTGCCATGATCTTGTTCGTGTAATGAGAAATGATTATAGTGTTGCCAAAGCCTATGTAGTTAATATGGGCTATGGCCCTATATGCCCTTCATGGCAGCTGTCTCTTCAATGACATTGTCCTCCTTACATTATGCTTGGCACTCATGCCTTCTTATTTTTTAGGCAGGCTGTTGAACCCTCTCTCTCTCTTTAAAAAAATATCATTTATTCATTTTTAAGATTTTAAAAAAATATTCAGTACCAATAAGATATACAGGCAATGGGAAATAGAAATCTATCTTGCCCTACAGGAAAATAGAAGGGAAAGGGGATAAGAGAAGGGGGGGCAATATAAAGGAAGGCCGATTAGGGAAAGGGGTATTCAGAATGCACACCATCTTGGGGTGAGGAGAGGGGTGAGGTGGGGAGAAAATTTGGAACTCAAAATCTTGTGGAAGTGAATATTGAAAATTAAAAATGAATATTTAAATGAATAAAAAAAGTTAAAAAAAATTCAGCTCCAATTTCTCTGTCCCTTAATTTCTCCCTTCAGCCACTGACAGGGCAAGTAATATCATACCTATTATACATTTGAAAAACTTTAGTTTTCAAATTTTCTCTCTTCCTCCCTCCCCACCCATCCTCATTGAAAAAGCAAGCAACTCAATATAGGTTGTACATGCGCAGTTATGCAAAACACTTCCATAGCAGCTGTGTTGTGAAAACTAACTAACTCTATTTCCCTTAATCCTATCCTGCCCTCTCATTTATTCTATTCTTTCTTTTGACCCTGTCCCTCCTCAGAAGTATTTACTTCTGATTACCCCCTTTTCCCAATCTGCCCTCCTCTCTATCATCCCTCTGCTCTCTTGTCCCCTTCTCCCCCTATTTTCCTGTAGGCTAAGACAGATTTCCATACCCAATTGAATGTGTATGTTATTCCCTCCTTAAGCCAAATCCTATTAGAATAAGATTCACTCATTCCCTGTCACCTTCACCGTTTCCCCTCCACTGTAAGAGACTTTTCTTTTCTGTTTTTATTTTGTGAGATAATTTACCCCATTCTACCTCTCCCTTTCTTCTTCTCCAAGTATAATCCTTGTTCATCCCTTAATTTTATTCTCCAGATATGACCCCTTAATCTTCAACTCACCCTGTGCCCCCTATCTATCTATCTATCTATCTATCTATCTATCTATCTATCTATCTATACATACATATAATTTTTCCCCTCCAACTACCCTAATACTGACAAAGGTCTCATGAGTTATAAATATCATCTTTCCATGCAGGAATGTAAACAGTTCAATCTTAATAAGTCTCTTATGATTTCTCTTTCCTGTTTACCTCTTCATGTTCCACTTGAGTCCTGTATTTGAAAGTCAAATTTTCTTTCAGCTCTGGTCTTTTCATCAGAATGCTTGAAAGTCCTCTATTTCACTGAATGACCATTTTTCCCCTGAAGGATTATACTCAGTTTTGCTGGGTAGGTGATTCTTGGTTGTAATCCTATCTCCTTTGCCCTCCGGAATATTATATTCCATGCCCTGCAGTCCTTTAATGTAGAAGCTGCTAAATCTTGTGTTATCCTGATTGTGTTTCCACAGTACTTGAATTGTTTCCTTCTGGCAGCTTGTAATATTTTCTCCTTGACCTGGGAACTCTGGAATTTGGCTACAATATTCCTAGGAGTTTTCCTTTGGGGATCTCTTTCAGGAGGAGATCGGTGGATTCTTTCAATTTCTATTTTGCCCTCTGGTTCTACTATATCAGGGCAGTTTTCCTTGATAATTTCTTGAAAGATGATCTAGGCTCTTTTTTTGATCATGGCTTTCAGATAGTCCAATAATTTTTAAATTCTCATATTCAGGTCAGTTGTTTTTCCAATGAGATATTTCACATTGTTTTCTAATTTTTCATTCTTTTGGATTTGTTTTACAGTGTCTTGATTTCTCATAAAGTCACTAGCTTCCAATTGCTCTATTCTAATTTTTAAGGAAGTATTTTCTTCAGTAATCTTTTGGACTTCCTTTTCCATTTGGCCAATTTTTTTTTTAGGGCATTTTCTCCTCATTGGCTTTTTGGACTCTTTTGCCATTTGGGTTAGGCTATTTTTTAAGGTGTTATTTTCTTCAGTATTTTTTTGGGTCTCCTTTAGCAAGCTGTTGACTTGTTTTTCATGATTTTCTTGCATCACTCTCATTTCTCTTCCCAGTTTTTCCTCTACTTCCCTTACTTGCTTCTCAAAATCCCTTTTGAGCTCTTCCAAGGCCTGGGACTGATTCATATTTTTCTTGGAGGCTTTGGATGTAGGAGCTCTGACTTTGTTGTCTTCTTCTGGTTGTGTATTTTGATCTTCTTTTTCACCGAAGTAAGATAATATAGTCTGACTCTTTTTGCGCTGCTTGCTCATGATCCTGCACAATTACTTGAGTTTTAAACTCTTTGTTAAGGTATGAATCTGCTTCCAATGTGGAGAATGTACTGTCCCAAGCTTTGGGGGTTTGTACAGCTGTTTTCAGAGATACTTGTAGGGACCTGTAAATTTTCAGTTCTTCCAAGGTGGTATGATAAGGGGCGAGGTGTTTACTCCTTTCCTGGCCTGTGACCACAAGTACTCCTTTCTGTCCTGTAACTGTGAGGAGGGGTTTCTCTTCACAGCCACTATAAGCTCCACCATGCCAGGGCTCCTCCTCACCCCAGCACCGCCTTCCAGAACTGTGACCCAGATCCAAACATGGGCAATGCAAGAGATTCCTGCCTCAGCACTGGCAAAGAGATCCCTGCAATCTCTCTCTGATCAGCCACTGGATTCCCCCTCAGTCTATGGGCCAGAAGCTCGGGAAGCAGCTGCCCCCCCCCCTCCAGGGCCACACTTTTGGGGAATGGAGCTGAGACCTCGCCTTCCCGTCTCAGCACTGCGGAAACAGACTTTTTCCACTGACCTTCTAAGTTGTCTTTGGCTTTCATGGATTGAAGAGTCTGAAAACCTCCACAGCTGCCCAAGATTCAGTCCTCTGAGGCCTACTCCGGGTTCACTGCAGACTGCATGCCCACGCCATGCTGCGTTCCCAGCCCGGTGAGATATAACTTTCTGATCAACCATCCAGGTTGTCTTGGGCTAAAAATTTGTTTTACTCTGTCTTTTTGTGGGTTCTGCTGCTTCAGAATTTGTTTAGAGCCATTTTTTATGAGTATTTGGAGGGGTTTGGGGGGAGCTCAAGCAAGTCACTGCTTTCACTCTGCCATCTTGGCTCTGCCCACCAATTCAAATTTTTAAGGAATTATTTTAATCAGTGAGCTTTTGTACCTCTTTCCTTATGTGTCAAATTCTGCTTTTTAAGGAGTTCTTTCTGAAGTGAATTTTTTTGCCTCTTTTACAAATGGGAAAATTTTGTTTTTTCAAGGTGTTATTTTCTTCAGTATTCTGAGGCTGTGAACCTTAGTTTCTGATAGAATGGCAGTGCTCTTGAAAACACTAGGGAAGTTGGGAGGGGAGGTACTTTGGGAGAAGCCATGATGAGGAGCTTTGTATTATACTAGGGGGGTTTGAGATGACTAACAGACATCATTTTGAAATAGTGTAATTCTACAGTTCATGATATGGAACTGAAATTAGAGAGAGATGTAGGCCTAGATCTCTAGATATAGTAGTGACAGAGACAGAGACAAAGAGAAAGAGAGAGAGAGAGAGAGAGAGAGAGAGAGAGAGAGAGAGAGAGAGAGAGAGAGAGAGAAGTTCATAAAAATATTGAAGGTAAGAAGTTTCCATCTAAGAGAGTAAAGGAGGAGAAAAGAGAAGAGGTCATAAAACAGGGGGTCTGCCACAATTAATCAACATGGCTTAGATTGTGATCTAGGTAAGGCAACTGGGAATGAACAGTCAGGCTGGTAGCAAGCACACCCAGGAGCACTAGTTGATCAGTAATATCAAAAGCTGATCAAGAGGAAGGAAGGTTCAGAAGAGGTCATGAGCTTTGTCCATGAAGACATCATTGGGTACTTTGGACTTTGAAAAGCAGATTTGGATAGAGTCTACTTCCCCAGTGGATGGGTGGGCCTCAACTAGAGAGCAGTGCTGTAAGTTGTATTGGCTGTGCAAGCAGCTGAAGGAGATGGGATCCACCCATCGGGTAAGGCTCTTTGACAACATTCAGACTTGGTCTATGACCCTATTCTGTAGTCTTTTTGTTGTGCCATTCAGGTGCTGTGCTCTAGAACTTCAAATTTGATAACAAAGTTGTGGATGATAGCTACACAAGCAATGAGCTAACCCACACTCTGCCAGTCATCAGAGACACTTTGGATCTGGAAGTGATGAACCATGAACATGAGGTGATGACCATGTAAATCTTTGAGGAAGCTTGAAGATAAAAACCCTGTTCATGTGGTCACAGAATTTGGGAAAAGGCCCACGGATTATAGGGCAAAATGCTTTGCCTTCAGTAAAGTGGGGCCTGAATGACTATAGTGAGGTCAAGAAGGAGTCATGAAAACAGTTTAGTTAAGCCAGTGGAACAAATTTGTTAGAACTTCTTTTTAGACACTTCGGACAGGGTGTATAAGAACTGAACAAACTTCCTAGAAATAAGGAATTGTCAGGGAAATTTCCATCATGAAAGGTGAGATTCTGTATCATTTCCTGGGAAGATGGGTCCTGCTGCTTCTCACTTCCTGCCACTTCATTTCCATGGGTGGTATACCAAGGACCTTTTGTGGTAGCTCTCCCACACTACCCAGCCATGGAGGCTAATGGGATTTGATGCCCTTACAATGGCATGGAATTAGCCCAAAGCAAGGTGGGGACAAGGATTTGATGACAGCTTGGGAGCAAGTGGCTTTTCAGTAGAAGCCATAGGAATAATACCTTCTATAGCAAGATGGACAGCAGCAGCCATACCCATAGCCACCATAGCCTAGGCCTCCATAGCCATAGTTGCCAAAGCCATAGCGTAGGCCATGGAAGCTGCCACATCCACAGCCATAACCAGAGCCATAACCATAGCCATAGCCCAGGCCTCCATAATAGCTGCCATAGCAGCTCATTGTGTCAGGATTCATAGATTTGGATAGATGTCAAAGGTAGGTTGTAGGAGTGAGTACAGCTCCATCTGCACAGGGACTTGTATACATTTCCAGCAGGAGGAGTGTCAGATACATAGCAGAAATGCATATTTCTCAGTAATAAACTTTCCAGGGCAAAATCACATTCTTATCATTGTTCATTCCCAGAGAATAATTCTTCCAGCTCATTAAAGATATTTTCTCTCAATTGGCTTTTTCTCTGAGAAGGCTCTGCCCTGATCTTGTTCTTGTAATGAGAACGATTATAGTGTTGCCAAATTCTTTATAGTTAATGTGACTGGAACCCTACTCAGGCTTTATGGTAGTCATCTCCTGGGTGGCACAGTCTTTCTTCATTACAATTGTGTTCCTGGGGTTCTAATTCCTTAGAGAGTTGTTTGAATCTTGTGTCTTAGTGCTGTTTGAGACTGAAATGACAGAATCATACAAGTTTCAGATTGGAGTTGAGATGGTGGTGGGTCACCAGTGTATGGAACAGGTTAATCAAACTTCCATTTCCAAAGTACCCCAAGCACCAACCACCTCCCCAGTACTGGCACTGTGCCAACAACTGTGCTCAGGGATTCAACAAGGTCCCTGCACTTGGGCAGCTCTTAAATTCCTAGTCCAGTGAGGACATGAACATAGTAAGGTACCTGCCACAAACATGGATGTTTGACGGAAGATCTCAGAAGCAGAAGCATAAACTTCTGGTGAAAGGTGGTAAGGGTAGGGTGGAGTAAAGGCAGAGAGTCACCTGAGCTCTCTCCCATCCCCTTCCAAATACCTTTAAAAATGACTCTAAACAAATTCTAGAGGAACAGAATCCATGATGAGAAAGAGTGAAACAAATTTCCAGCCTAAGGCAGCCAGGAATGTTGACAGGAAAGGTCTCTTGCACTTGGGTGAGGAAAGAGTGCAGTCCAGCAGAGGCCCCAGGAAACCTGGAGCAGGCCTTGGGGCTACTGAATCACATGCAGCAGTTTCTAGATCTCTTTGCCTACATCCAGCAAAGACAACTTAGAAGATGAGCAGGAAAGTTTGTTGGACCTGAATGAGATTGGAGTACAGTCCAGCGTGGGCCACACCAGCATAGCTACTGCTCCAGGAAACCAAAAGCAGGCCTCAGCAGTGACTGAATAATCATCATCATCAGCAGCTGTTGCTTCCAGAGCTCTTAGTAAAGGGGTTGAACAAAGTCAGAAGGAGATTACAGGGGTCTCTTTGCTAGCACCGAGACAGGACTCTGTTGCTTTGCCTATACTTGGATCCAGACATCAGTCCTGTGTGGCAGTCTCAGGGTAAGGAGGAGCACTAGCGTAGCAGAGCTTGTGGCAAAAGTAGAGAGGGACTCTTTTCACAGTTTCAGGGCAGAAAAGAGTGCTTGTGGTCACTCACAGATCTGAGCACAGGCCAGGAGAGGAGTAAACACCTCTCCTTAGATCATACCACCTTGAAAGAATGGAAAACTTACAGGTCCCTAGAAGTATCTCTGAAAACAGCTGCACAAAAACCCTGAAGCTTGGGGCAGTTCACCCTCCACCCTGGAAGCAGAGCCCTACCTTTACAAAGAGTTGCTCACTGAAGAAAATAATTCCCTAAAATTAGAATGGAACAAATGGAAGCTAATGACTTTATGAGAAATCAAGAAATCATAAAACAAAGTAAAAAGAATGAAAAAATACAAGACAATGTGTAATATTTCATAGGAAAACAATTGACCTGAATAATAGATCTAGGAAGATAACTTAAAAATTATTGAACTACTTGAATGTCATGGTCAAAAATGGAGCCTAGACATCATCTTTCAAGAAATTACAAGGAACACTGCCCTGATATTCTAGAACCAGAGGGTAAAAGAGAAATTGAAAGAATCCACCAATTACCTTCTCAAACAGATCCCAAAATGAAAACTGCCAGGAATATTAAAGCCAAATTCCAGAGTTCTCAGGTCTAGGAGAAAAATATTGCAAGCAGCCAAAAAGAAACAACTCAAGTATCATGGAGCCACAATCAGGATAATCTAAGATTTAGCAGTTTCTACATTAAAGGATCAGAGGGCTTGGAATATGATATTCTGGAAGGTAAAAGAACTAGGATTACAACCAAGAATCAGGTATCTAGTGAAACTGAATGCAATCCATGAGGAGAAATATGGATATTCAATGAGACAGGAATTTCAAGCATTCTTGAGAAAAGACCAGAGCTAAATAGAAAATTTGACTTTCAAATACAAGACATAAGAAGAAAGGTAAACAGGAAAGAGAAATTATGAGACTTATTTAAATTAAATTGTTTATGTTCCTACATGGAAAGATGATATTTGTAACTCATAAGACCTTTCTCATTAGGAGGGTAGTTAGAAGGAGTATCTATAGACAGAGGACACAGGTGTGAGTTGAATATGAAGGGATGATATCTAAAAAATAAAATTAAGGGGTGAGAGAGGAATATACTGGGAGAAAGAGAAAGGGAGAGGTGGAATGGAGTAAATTATCTCACATAAAAGAGGCAAGAAAAAGCTTTGGAGTGAGTGAACCTTACTCTTATTAGAATTGGCTCAAAGAGGGAATAACATACATACTCAACTGTGTATAGAAATCTATCTTACACTACAGGAAAGTAGGGGGTAAGAGGATAAGAGAAGGGGGGGTGATAGAAGGAAGGGCAGACTGGGGGAGGGGGTAATGAGAAGCAAAACCCTTGAGAAGAGACAGGATGAAAGGAGAGAGAGAATAGAATAAATGGGGGTGGGGAATAGGATTGAGGAAAATACAGTTAGTGCCTCACAATATGACTATCATGGAAGTGTTTTGCGTGACTACACATATATAACCGGTATCAATTTGCTTGCCTTCTCAAAGGGGTGGAGTAGGTAGGAAGGAAGGGAGAGAATTTGGATCATAAAGTTTTAAAAATGAATGTTAAAATTGTTTTTACATGTAAATGGGAAAAAATACTAAATTAAAAAAAGAAAAAAGGTAAGGGCACTTGTTATGGTTAGGATTTGAGCTGAAACTCAGAGGAAGCAGCAAAAGTCAGGAGAGGGAAGGAGAGCTATCTGAGCAGGTTGGATAGCAAGCCAATTCAAAGGCAAGCAGAAGGGACATGCAGTATATCAGTTGTAGCCATACTATAACATGTGAAGAGGGAAATAAAGTATACAAAGACTGGAAGGAAAAGAATTGGTCAGTTTATAAAGAGGGTGAAATTATAGACAAAGGTTTTGATTTGAACCAGCACAGATCAAGATGCTATGACAGTTTACTAGACAACATGTGCAGAGCCTCAGGTTTTTGCAGATTGGAGGGGATGTGGAGTAAGATGAATATTTCAGGAAAATCTGTTGGGCAGCTGAGTGGCTGATGGATTGTGCTGGGAAGAGGACTGGATTGGGAGGCCAATTCTAAGGCTCCTGTAGAGAGACACTGAGGACCTTATCTAAGGTGGGGTCTGTATGAGTGGAGAGAAGGATAGATATGCCATGTTAGAAAGAACAGGTTTTGCCAATTCTAGATAAGTGCAGTGAGAGTGAAATATCAAGTACTTCCCAAGAGTCAGAACCTGAGTTCCTGGCAGCAAAGGGGTACTATTGAAAGTAGTAAAGAGGTAGGGAGAGGTACAATGCTTTTCAAGAGGCAGATGAAGAGCTGTATTTTAGGTTTGGGAGCTTTGAGATGACTAGAGAATATCAGTTTGAAATTGTGCAATTGGACACTTCATGATGTTGAACTGGAGCTCAGGACAGATGCAGACCTGGATCTGGAGATGTGACAGTGAGTGGCAGAGGGAAGGTATCTCAAGTCCTGAGATCTGAAGGAGGGTCTACTCTCTGACCAGTGGAGAAAGCATAATAGTGATAAAAGGGAAGACAGAACATGTTAAGTGTCAGCCACACGTGACATGCCATGATGAACTAGTTAAGATGAGCAAGAAGGAAAAGTGGGAAGGTGGGAAGAGCAGTGTCAAGCACACCTGGGAGCACCAGTTGGCCAGCAGTGCCCAATGCTGAAGGCAGATCAAGAAGAAGGAAGATTCCAAAGAGGTCACCAATTTTGGTCAGTAGGAAATCACGGAGCACTTAGGAGAGAGCAGTTTCTCTGCAAGGCTGGAGTCAGGAAGCATATCTCCAAGACTTTCAAAGACAGTGAAAGGAGGGCAGGCAGGGACTCTGAATAGCCTCCAACGAATGCATTTCAGTCATGGACTATCAAAATGTCAGAATACTGATGTTAGATTGGGTAGAATCATGCATTCTGTGCATATGTAGATGACCAGCTGAACAAATGAGTTCAGGGAAATTCTGGGCTGGGTTCTCTCTTCAGAGAGAAGGGAACTGAGCCCATAAGTACTGAGGAGGTCATTGACTGAGAGAGTGTAGTGGAGAAAAGGCAGGCTGCAGCTCTTAGGTTGCAGATCATCTCAGAAAGACTCCAATTTAGCAGAAGAAAAGTGAGTTCAATGTGGTTGGGGCAGCATTAGGTGTCTCCTCTATTCTCTCTGATTCGAACCTTTCACAACTCTGCTCTAAAGGATAAGTAAGACCAGTAGGATGCTGCACAACAACCAGAAATCCCACTGTGACTTTGAGATTGCCAGAAGAGGGGCAAAAGGGAGAAGAGCTCTGGAAAATGGAGGTGACTGTCCACCTAATAGCATGCTCTGCTCAGTGCTTGGCTCATTTTTGGCTAAACTGGAGAGTATCTATGTTGGGAGCTGAGTCCTTATGGAAAATCTCTAAGTCCTTACAGACTTAAGGGGTCAGTACTGTAGAGGCTTGCCTTGGGATAAACGCTCTCTTGACTCTTGCCCCAATTCCACTTGTTATAGTTTGTTGATTCCAAGTTCTCATTCATGACCAGCCTTGAGGCCAGGTAGCTGACTTGGGCAGATAATACTAAGAACTGGGCAGGGAAACAATAGGTATGAATTTTGGCATTAAAACTACTTTCTCATGAGAAAATAAGGATCTTTAGCTGCTT